CGGACTGTCGTATGTTGCGAAGAAGGCCTCTCCTCCTGCGGAGACGCAGTCCCTCTGGATGCGCGCCGCGGTCTCCATCTTCTTGTCGCTTTTGGCTTGCCTCAATTTTCTGCCGTCGTTGTCTGTCTCGCTCTCTGCCAATTTGGTTCTCCCCCACGTGCGCGCGTCCGACGGGAGACTGGCAACGGGGGTCTGACTGAAGAATTACGGCCCGCACCACGCCGCGGAGATGTTTGGGGTCCGCTTTGCCTGTTCCACCCCGACTTCCAGCACTTGAGACAGCACTCTGAATCCATCGCTCGTCATGCTCACCGTGCTCTGAGTGGGATAACGGAGGGACTGCACCATCTTTGCCGACACCACAGACCTGAGGCTGTGGACGACCCTGATCAGGCTGATGCCCCTCTTGTTCGGCGGGAATGCCTGGACGATGCGGTCCTTGCTGATATCCCCGCGGCTGCTGGTGATTTTGAGGATCTCTGCAAATTTGCTCATGGGCACCTGATCTAGGACCTCCAGCAGAAGCACTGTCGATATGAATTTCCCGACCGACAGCTCTTTTTTCATCGCCATGACATATATTGACGACATGGTATTGATCGACTTCCCTTTGTCGTATGCGCCCTCTGCCGAGAGCGTGGCGATCTTGCTGATCGACCGCTTGATCACAGGTTTCCCGGACAGATCGGACAGCTCTACAGTCTTCATTTTCGCCAGCATGTCCTTGGTCGCCAAGCAGATCGTCTTCAACAGGCCCTCGAAGTCCGTGCGCGACGCGGTCGCGAGCTCCGCCGACAGCAAGGAGCTCTCTAGCTCCGGATGAAGCTGCTGGGACCGCTCGTTGCCACTCGAAGTTGTCACTGCTGCTGCCGCGGCCCCTGAGGCCATCTGAGAAGACGAATAACCAGGACAGAAGTGTTGTGAGCAATCCGACAACCGATCAATTCCGAGCAGTAGTGATTAAAGCCGAAAGTTGGTAAAACGGGAAAAAAAGAGGGCACTACTACTACTACGACGACGACGGCTACTACGACTACTACGACTACTACGACTACTACTACTACTACTACTACTACTACTACTACTACTACTACTACTACTGACTACGACTACGACTACGACTACTACTACTACTACTACTACTACTACTACTACTACTACTACTACTACTACTACTACTACTACTACTACTACTACTACTACTACTACTACTACGAACTACTACTACTACTACTACTACTACTACTACTACTACTACTACTACTACTACTACTACTACTACGACGACTACTACGACTACTACTACTATACTACTACTACTACTACTACTACTACTACTACTACTACTACTACTACTACTACTACCTACTACTACTACTACTACTACTACTACTACTACTACTACTACTACTACCTACTACTACTATACTACTACTACTACTACTACTACTAACTACTACTTACTACTACTACGACTACCTACTACTTCTACTACTACTACTACTACTACTACTACTACTACTCTACTATACTACTACTACTACGACTACTAACTACTACTACTACTATACTACTATACTACTACTACTACTACTACTAACTACTACTACGACTACTACGACTACTGACTACTACTACTACTACTACTACTACTACTACTACTACTACTACTAGCTAACTACTACTACTACTGCCTCAGCCTCCGACTCCGCCTACTGCTACTACTACTACTACTACTACTACTACTACTACTACTACTGCTACTACGATTGCTACTACTACTACTACTACTACTACTACTACTACTACTACTACTACTACTACTACTACTACTACTACTACTACTACCCCCCTGCCTCCGCCTCAGCCTCCGACTCCGCCTCCTCCTGCTCCTCCTCCTCCTCCTCCTCCTGCTCCTCCTCCTCTTCCTGATCCTCCTCCTCCATCCTCATCCTCCTCCTCCTCATCTTCCTCCTCCTCCCCCTCCTCATCCTCCTCCCTTTCCTTTCTTCCGTATAGATAACGCCCGCCTGTCGCATCCCCAGGCGCATCGGCAGGGCGGGCCAGGCGTTTCGCCTCAGACTTCCACACCACTGATGACACTGAGGATGACAGGTATTTCACTGAACCTCCTCCCCGCCTTCCTTGCCTCTAGGCACCCGGCCTTGTTTTTCCCCTCGGCTGGGCCAACGAGCCGATGTGTCACACTGCCCTCGGCACACGTCGAGCGACGGAGGCTCGTGCCTCCTCCTCGCCCGACGCGCGCCCATCGAGCGCCAGAGGCCGATGCCTCCGCCTCGCCCGACGCAGGCACGCAGAAGGGGCTCTCGCCTGAGTGGCAGGCCCATTGGGTGCTGGTCTGTCCAGGGGGGGGGGGGCTTCGTGCACTGCGAACGAAGGCCCTACGGAGCTTATGGAGTGGGGACTTGGGACGGGAGGGGGTACTCCAGATTTCGTAATCAAAGGGAGGGGGTCTGGACCCTCCAAGACAAGCCATTTCAGACCCCCACTCGTGGGAGAACCCTCCAAAACATCGTCCCCAGACCACCCCAGGCCCTCCAAGATAGCCTGGAAGAGACCCCCCCCGAAATGAGACCCCCCTCCCTTTATTACGAAATCTGGAGTATAGCAGCATCGCTGGTGCGTCTTGGGTTGCGGCGCCTCGGAGGCCCTTGGGACCGTGAAGTGGGCTTGCCGGGCAACGCTTCGGGCGCGGCGGGTGGGAACTGCTGGAGGCGGGGCCAGAGCCGCCCACCTGTGGACCACGGCTCGGGCGTGTCTCAGCAGGCATCCCAACAGACGTCCTCTCACGAATCCCACCAGCCCTTTAGGGCGTAGGTGGTCTAGGGAGTTTCCTCTGCCAACCCCCTTCTTCCCCTTCGGGGAGGGGTTTACCCCTCCCCTTACCCCTCCCCACTGACCTGGACGGGGCCGGTCGCGAGGTGTCAGAGCGTCCAAGATGGCCCAAGACAGCTCCAAGAGCGAACAGGCGAGAAAACACAAAACATTGATTTTACCTAGGTTTTGGAAGGATTTTGGCATCTTGGGGGGGCCCAAGAGGCGACTCGAGGCACTCTGGAGGGGCGGGGCTAATAAGCACCCCCCCCTTCTTTGATAGATCTCCTCCAAGATGGCCCAAAGAGCGCCCCGAAGGCTCCCAAGAGCGCCCCAAGAGCGCCTCAAGAGGGCCCCAAGAGACCCCAAGAGGCCCCCAAGAAGCCTCCAAGACGTTGCCAAGAGACCCCCAAGAGGCCCCAAGAGAGTCCAAGATGGCCCAAGACGGCTCCAAGAGCGAAAAGGCGAGAAAACCGAAAACATTGATTTTATCTAGGTTTTGGAAGGATTTTGGCCTCCTTGGGGGGCCCAAGAGGCGACTCGCGGCACTCTAGAGGGGCAACGCTAATTGGGGACCCCCTCTTCTCTGATCGATCTCCTGCAAGATGGCCCCAAGAGCGCCCCGAAGGCTCCCAAGAGCGCCCCAAGAGCGCCCCGAGAGCGCCCCAAGAGGCCCCAAGAGGCGCCCAAGAGGCCTCCAAAAGGCTCCCAAGAGACCCCCAAGAGGCCCAAGAGGCTCCCAAGACGGGTCCAAGAGCGAAAAGGCGAGAAAACAAAAAACATTGATTTTACATAGGTTTTGGAAGGATTTTTGCCTCTTGGGGGGGCCCAAGAGGCGACTCGAGGCACTCTAGCGGAGCAGCGCTAATTGGGGACCCCCCCTTCTTTGATAGATCTCCTCCAAGATGGCCCCAAGAGCGCCTCGAAGGCTCCCAAGAGCGCCCCAAGAGCGCCCCAAGAGGGCCCCAAGAGGCCCCAAGAGACCCTCAAGAGGCCTTCAAGAGGCCCCCAAGAGACCCCCAAGAGGCCACAAGAGGCTCCCCGAGATACGCAAGAGGCCCCCGGGACCGCCAAGAGGCCCCAAGGACGGCCCAAGAGGCCCCCAAGCTCGCAATTGTCCTCCTCCTCCTCCTCCTCCTCCTCCTCCTTCTTCCTCCTCCCTCCTCCCCCTCCCCCTCCTCCTCCTCCTCCTCCTCCTCCTCCTCCTCCTCCTCCTTCCCTTTTCCTCCTTCTCGTCCTCCTCGTCCTCGCAGTCCTCCATCTCCTCCTCCTTCTATTCCTCCTCCTCCTCCTCCTCCTGCTCCTCCTCCTGCTCCTCCTCTTCCTCCTCCTACTCCGACGACGACGGCTCCTCCTACATCCTCCCCCTCTTGGGGTATATGGCGGCTCACCCCGCCCTTTGTTCTTCTGCATGCTCCCCCGCTTCCCTCATAACCTCCACTCCCCTGGGACTCAATTCTGGACGGGCTGGTGGGGATACGCGAAGCGTCTAGAATTGAGATTGGCCTCAACCGCATCCTCCGCATTCAACTCCTCCTCCTCCTCCTCCTCCTCCTCCTTATCCAACTCCTCCTCCAACTCCTCCTCATCCTCCTCCTCCTCCAACCCAACTCCTCCTCCTCCTCCTCCTCCTCCTCCTCCTCCTCCTCCTCCTCCTCCTCCTCTTCCTCATCATCCTCATCCTCATCATCATCATCATCATCATCATCATCATCATCATCATCATCATCATCATCATCATCATTATCATCATCATCATCATCAGCAGCAGCAGCATCAGCATCAGCATCAGCATCATCATCATACTCATCATCCACTTGTTAGGTTTCCTTGTTTTATGTCATCATTAATACTGTGGTTGTTGATCCTCCTCCTCATCCCCCGCCCCTCGTGCCATCATCATCATCAACATCACCATCGCCATGAGCACCATCATCATCATCATCATCATCATCAGCAGCAGCAGGATCGTCATCATCATTATCATCATCACCATCATCATCATCATCATCATCATCATCAAAAGCATAATCATCATGCTCCTCAGCATCGCCATCATCAGAACCACCCCTGTCATCGTTTTCATGTTCAGCATCACCATTTCCATGTCATGTTCAGCATCACCATTTCCATGCTCCTCCTCCTCCTCCTCCTCCTCCCCGGCGTCCTGCGCTCCGCGTCGGATTGGTAGAGCCGAATGTAGGCCGGCGTGGCGGCGTCACCTCTGGCGCGGATGCCATGGCCCAAGCGGACGCAAGAGCCCCCCGCGCATTTCTGAAATCTGGGTGCCGCATGTTTCCTTAATTGCGTTTCGCTCGGGCGGTTCTTCTAGAGGTTAGAAATTGCTAGCCAACGCGGACCCAAAAAACAGTATGTTTATGGCAACACATGTTGTGCAATCTACGTGCGGGAATCTATGTGGAGCAACATATGTGCTGAAATATATGCTGAGCAATTCACGTGGTGCGTGGTGCAGTAGATGTGGTGCAATTAATTCCTGTTCGCAGCGAATTGTCCACTCCACTGGTCTCGCAATCATTCCACCCACCAACCCGCAACTTGGTTTGCAGAACCCATGCGGCGCCGATCGCGATGAGTGTTTGGAGTTGGCTGAAGCATCTCTGCGGCCGCGATGGCCCGCGCATGCTCGTGCGCGCAGCGGCCAGCTAGTTTGGCGCGGCCGACGCGGCCGCGGTTTCGCATGACCGGTGCAACTCGGCAACTTTGGCGAGCGCGGTATCATGGCAACGTCGACAACGGTAGACACGAAGATGATAGTAGCGATGCTGGCGACAATGATGACAACGACAACGGGAAGGCCCGTGACGGCGCCGATGTTGATCACGCCAGCGACTCTGACGGCGCCCCTGCGTCGGTGATGAAGGTTTTGGAGGGAGTTCGAATGCGCGCGCGGCCGACGCGCAAGAACGGCCAACATGGTTTTATGTGATACGGACGCGTCCCCCCCCCAGCACGCGCGCAAGGGCTTTCGAATGATTTCGGCGTGCGGCGCGAGGGACCCGCTTGGCAGAATGTATTGGGCATGCTGAAAAAAACGATCGTTTTCTTAAGAATTCGCAGGAGCGCGAGCGCAGGTAAGTTCATTGCAAAACAATGTGTTTGTTTAAACATGTGTTTGGGACATTCGATTTTGGAATCCATGCGAGGCCAAAGGCTTGAGGGATTTGGGTACGCGTGCGCGGCAACGTGCGCGCGTGCACTTCGCCCCATGTTTTGCGAAGAATTATTGCGGCAGCACGCGCGCAAGGGCGTTCAAGCGATTCCGACACGCGCGCGCGACAGGCCTATTTGGTAGCAAGCTATGAACATGCTCAAAACTCGTTCGTTTGAAAATTCTCGTTGCGAAAACACATGTGTTATATGGTTTGGGGACACACGGTTTTGAAGTGAAACCCTTACGACACCTAAGATTATTTGAAAGAGAGAGTGGAGCATGCGCGCGCGACGGCGCGCGCGTGTGCACTCCGTTCCACCTGTTGCAAAAGATTTCTTGGAAACTGCTGATCCGTGATGAACAAGTGCATATACACATGTATATATATAACTATATCAAAGGATTAGGGAACGTTACCCGTTTAGCTGTAATGATCTGAACTCATTTGTTGGATGGACGTTGTGTAGCTTGCAATGCGGCAAAAGGGATCCGTTAAGTCTGGGGGGGGTAGATCCTAATACTCAAAAAAGATACATGTGGTGCAACCTTTGTGGTGCAATTGATTTTGTTCGTTCGCAGTGGATTGTCAGCTCCATTGCTCGCGCAGTCACCCGCCCCACCCACCGCAACTAGGTTTGCAAAACCCACGCGGCAACGATTGCGATGACTGCTCGGCGCTAGCTGGCGCATCGCTGCGGCCACGCTAGCGCGCGCAGGCTCGCGCGCACGGCGGCCAGCTAGTCTGGCGCGACATACGCGGCCGCGGTGTCGCTGACCGTTGGGGACTTCCCAGTGCGTCTCGCAGGCCGCGCTGACGCGCGGGCACTTCAGCGCCACTCGGTGACTCGGGCGGGCGTGGTATCATAGCACGTCGACAACGGAAGACGCGATAATGCCTGCAGCAGCGCTGGCGACGACGATGCCGATGACGGCACCACCAACGACTGCGCCGAATGCGAATCACGCTGATGACGAAGATGGCGTCCACGCTTCGGCCATGAAGGTGTTGGACAGATTTCGACATGCGCGCGCGACAGACGGGCGAGACTGCCCCGCATGGTATTACTTAACAGGGATCGTTGCCCCGCCCAGCACGGGCGCAAGGGCGTTCGCTTGATTCCGACATGCGCGCGCGAAAGGCCTGTCTGGTCGCAGTTGAAGACGATGTTGCGAAGCCTGTGGTTTTCGTAAGTATTCGCAAGAGCGCGCGCGCAGACCTTTCTTGAACAAGAAAGACACGTTACAAAACCATGTGGTCCGACATGTATTTGGGACAGTCGACTTTGAAATCCGAACGTTTTGTAAGAGGTTTCGAATGAATTCGGCATGCGCACGCGACGACGCGCGCGCGCATCACTCCGTGACAACAGATGCGTGATTCCTTGAAGCTGTGATAGTGTTAGGGCGGGCCTGCCCCCCTACAGGGGGATGTTGGGCGAGAAATGATACACATACCCAACAAATACTCCAAAAATGCTCGAAAATACTGAAAACAAATCGCCCCCTGACTATTTTTTGACTGATTTTGGATACTCCCCCTGAAAAAGGAACAGGCCCGACTTAGTGATAGTGGGGCCGCGGAAACACCCCGCCGCGCGCGCGCTCCGCCCGCGGGCCTGCGGGCCGGCGCGACCGGGATGCGGACCCGTCGCCCTGCCCAGAGATCCAAGCCCGCGCGCCTGATTATACGGCACGCCCTGCCCCGCCGCGCGCGCGCGCTGCAGCCATGTCCGCGCAGCCAGGCCTACCCCAGACTTCGTAAGAAAGGGAGGGGGGTCTCATTTCGGGGGGGGGTCTCTTCCAGGCTATCTTGGAGGGCCTGGGGGGTCTGGGGACGATGTTTTGGAGGGTTCTCCCACGGGGGAGGTCTGAAATGGCTTGTCTTGGAGGGTCCAGACCCCCTCCCTTTTATTACGAAATCTGGAGTCCCCAACGGCACTTCCCAGCCAGCCCCATCACGTCCGGCGCGCCAGCTATAGCGCCCACCTGCTCCCGCCCGCCCGCCCCCGCCCGCAGCACGCCTCCCCGTGGCCCCTGGCTTCGCGTGGCCCGAACCCGCCCCTGAGACAGCCGAGGCCCCCCGCGCGGCTGCCGCGCTGGGGGCATCGGCTGTGTAGCCTGCGCCACATAGCGCAGGCTGCATAGCCGCGGCTACATAGCGCTATGTAGCCGCGGCGCTGCAATGCCGCGCCGCGGAACTGCACACCGGGCACGCCTGCGCTACACAGCGACCGCGCTCCTGCCGCCACACGTCCGGGGGCACCCGCCCGGGGGCCCTCGCCGCAGACCAGGCCCGAAGGCAGCGCCACAGGCTGGGCGCCCCAGAGCGCCCCGCGGAGGCCTTGGGCCAGCGGCGGCCTTGGTCCGGGATCAGGCCCTCCTCCGCCTTCTCCTCCTCCTCCGCCTCCTCCTCCTCCTCCTCCTCCTCCTCCTCCTGGATCAGGCCCTTGTGATCGAGGGCAGCGATGTGGAGCAAGAGCCATGCCGGCTCCTGGGCCCGCGCCGCGGGCGCCAGGGCCGCGTGCTCCCACTGCCGCACCGCCCGCCCACGAGCAGCTGGGCAGGCGCGCCCCGCCTCGCCGAGGCGCTCTGCGCAGAGATCCACCCGCACCCGGAGATGCGCCACCACATCCGCCGCGTGCTCCTTCCATGGTGGTCCCCGTCACCGCTCGGGGACCCAGCACGGCTGCAGCTACCAGGCTCGAATGGGGCAGCACCAGCAGGCGCGCGCAAGCCAAGGCAATCCGCTGCAGCAGCTTCGACCCCCAGCGCGTGAGCATGCGCGTTCTGGCCAGCGCCCGCGCGTGCCCTCCCTCCCCGAAGGCCGTGCCTCCGCTAACCCCCAAGAGCACCTTGGCTGCGTCATACTGCACCGCATTGATCCGGGCCACTGCCGCACCGCAGCCCAGCCCTCAGCTGGCCAGCAGCTCCGAGCCAAAGAACACTACCCACTCGACCTGGCTTGGAACCTGCGCAGCCTGATATAGCAGCCCAAACCCGCGCTGCCTCCAACGACGCTGCCAGCTTCTGCAGGCCGTCACGGAGCCGCGCGCACACCTTCGCAAGCAAGTCAGGAGGAAGGATGAGGAAAAGGACTCAGCAGTGGAAATATGAATGCTGGACCCTCCCGATATCTCTGGGAAGGAGGAGGAGAAGGAAGAGGAGGAGGGGGCGGAGACGGAGTGGGGAGGGCCTCGCGGTGACTCTCTTGGGGGGAGGGCCTCGCTGTGACTGCTGCTGCTGGCAGCGCTGCGGGGGCGGCTGCTGGAGGGCCTGCAGGGGCGGCACGTGCGGCCGCTGCCTCGGCCTCGGCTCAGGGCGGCGGCGACCACGACCCCCTCTTCCTCCATCGGTGAGCATTCCTCCTCCCCCTCCCTGCTCCTCCCTCCCTCTTCCTTGTAAGCAACTCCTTACTGCCGCACCCCAGAGCGTATCGACAGGGCGATGTCGCTCTCGCCCGAGCGCCGCACACACTCGTCCTAAGAGTTTACAGCTGCTTCACAGATGGAGGGGGGTCAAGCTGTTATTCGCGACTGGGCGCCGCGCACACTCGTCCTGAAAGCTTGCAACAGCTTTACGGATGGAGGAGGGGTGGCTTTCAAAATGTGGTCTCAACTTAGCGCCGCGCACATTGGCCTTAGAAGTGTACAGCAGGTACACCGACAACGGGCAATTTTCTATCAAAGTGTGGTTACCGCTTGAGCGCCGCGAACATTTGTCGTGAAAGTGTGCAGCCGCTTCACGGATGAGGGGCGGGTCCTTTTCAAAATGAGGCTGCCGCCTGAGCGGTGCGCAGTCGACATCAAAGTTTGCAACAGTTTCACGGATGGAGGGGGCCGTTTTCGAAATGTAGATATCGCCTGAACTCCGCGCACATTCGTTTGAAAGTTCTGCCAAAGGTTCAAATATTGAGGGGTGGATTTAAAAATGTGGCTCTCGCCTTGGCGCCGCGCACATTCGTCTTGAAGTGTTGCCAAACGGTTCAAGAATAAAGGGGGGGAGACTTCAAAATGTGGCTCTCGCCTGAGCGCAGCGCACATTCCTCTTGAAAAAATGCACTAGCTTCACGAACGGAGGGAAGTTGTGTTGTTCTACATGTGGTTCTCGCCACAGCGCCGCGCGCCTTCGCCTTCATGAAACGCAGCATCCAGCTGGGTGGAGGACCGCTTGATTGAGACTGCGCGAGGCTGAAAGACTCAGAACCTCAACGCACGTGGCGCTGCACGGATCAAGGCCAGTCTTTTCAACATGGAGCTGACGCGTAAGGCTTCCTCGAAGCTCGAGACTGCGAGGGCAAACTTGTGCGAAAGGTAAACCGATGGTGGGGGTGCACGGTTTCCCCCGGGGCCGTAGGCGACCCGAGGAGGAGGAGGAGGAGGAGGAGGAGGAGGAGGAGGGGGAGGAGAAGGAGGAGGAGGAGGAGGAGGAGGGGGAGAAGGAGATGGAGGAGCGGGAGGTGGAGGAGGAGGAGGAGGAGGAGGAGGTGGAGGAGGAGGAGGAGGGGTCGCCTAAGCCCTTCGGAGAAACGCCTAAGCCCTTCGGAGAAACCCTCCAGGTGGGGGCGGTCCTTCTTCGAGAGGGGGACATCGCTGGACATCCCGGCGAGCTGCGCAGCCATTCCCCAAGCAGTGCCTGCAGCGAAGGGGTCCTAGCGGAAGTTTCGGGAGCGGCCAAGAGGGGGGCGTCCCAGAGGGGGGGGTGCAAATCATGACCGGCGGCATGTGCGCGGCCCCGCGGGGGGGCCAGGGACGTGATGAAATAAGAAGAAGCGCCATGAGATCTGGGGGAATATCATGGCCCCCGCCATGATATCCACCCCCCCTCTTTTCCGCCCCCGAAAGTTGGATGCCTTAGCGAAAATGCCGGGCCTCCGGCTCCGGGTTCCCGGGGCTTCCGGCTCTGGGTTCCCAGGTTCCGGGTTGCTGATGATGGACCGATTTCGGTGGGCGGCGGTCCCGAGGTTCAAGGTTCTGGTACCCGTCTCCCTGGCTCCTGGTCGATCACACGGTCGATCTCACGGTCCATCTCACGCAATCGACCTCACCATCGAGCTCACTATGAGTCTCACTATCCATGACACTCAATGGATCTCACGCTCGATATCGCCATCCATCTCCTTTTCGATGACACAGTCGATCCACGATCGATGTCACTATCGATCGCACGGTCGATCTCATGATCGATCTCACGATAGTTCTCGCTATCGGCCTCACTATCGATGTCACTACCGATATCACCACCAATCTCACTATCGATCTCACTATCGATCGTCCGATCGATCACACTACCGATATCACGATCGGTCTCACTATTGATATCACGATCGATATCATTGTCAATACCACGATCGATCCCACCATCGATCTCACGATCGATGTCACTCAATCGATCGCCAGATCGATCTCACTATAGATCCCACGATTGGTCTCACAGTTGATCTCGCTATCGTTCTCACTATCCATGTTACTCAATCGATATCACTATCGATCTCACTCTCGAGTACACGATCGAAATAACAATCGATCTAACCATCGATCTCACTCAATCGACATCACTATCGATCTCACTATCGATCTCTCGATCGATCTCACCATCGATCTCGCTGTCGATCTCACTATCGATCCCACGATCGATCTCACGATCGAACTATTTATAATTGACCTCACTGCCAATCTCAGTATCGGTCTCGCCATAGATCTCACGATCAAACTCACTCAACGGACATCAAGATCGATATCACTGGCGATCTCACTATCAGGCTCACTATCGCTAACACGACGCAGCATAACCTATAGCATACCATGGGACTTCCCCGCGCCACGGGACACCACGGGACAGAGAGAGGGAGGGAGAGAGAGGGAGAGAGAGAGAGAGGGAGAGAGAAACACACACACAGACAATAAAAGAGAGAGAGAGAGAGGATGATATGACAACTAGACTGGGCTACAAAGCATATCGAAACTAGACCAGGGCGGGAGGGAAGCCGACGGAGGTACCTGCGAAAAAACAGAAATCCACTGATGTGTGCTCTCTCTCTCTCTCTCTCTCTCGTTCTCTCGCTCTCTCTCTCTCTCTCTCTATCTCTCTCTCTCTCTCTCTCTCTCTGGTGTATGCAATGTGTTCTGCATTCCTGGCTACGCGCCCGAAAGATTGGCATGGCAGGTCCTTTCCAAATCGGGACCCTCGCCAAAAATGGCGTGCCCGGCTGTGCTCGACGTTCAAGGCGAGCGAGAGGAGGAGGACTTCCAGGAGCGTCCGAGGAGGGGGCTTGGGACGGGAGGGTGCACTGCAGCATCGTTCACGCATCGTTGGCTTACTCTGGCTCTCCTCCTCCTCCTCCTCCTCCTCCTCCTCATCATCATCATCATCATCATCAGCAGCATCAGCAGCATCATCATCATTCCATCTCCACCGCCATCATCCTCCCTCATCCTGTTCTTCCTCCGCCCCCTCCTCGATCCGACCTTCTCCTCCTCCTCCTCCTCCTCCTCCGTTTCCTCCTCCTCCTCCTCCGTTTCCTCCTCCTCCTCCTCCTCCGTTTCCTCCTCCTCCTCATCCTCCTCCTCCTCCTCTCCTCCTCCTCCTCCTCCTCCTCCTCCTCCTCCCTCCTCCTCCTCTCCTCCTCCTCCTCCTCCTCCTCCTCCTCCTCCTCCTCCTCCTCATCTTACCCTCCTGCTCCTCCTCCCCGTCCTGCCAGGGAGACAAGAAAATGAAGGCGAGTCGAGAATCAACGATAAGACGGTGAAGGCCGTCCTGCCCCGATGACGATCCCCGGGGCCAGTCCTGGGGACGCCATGGTTCCTGTTTCGGAGCCACGCTGGGCAAGTGCAACAAAATTTTACGAGCCTCTCCTCCTCATCCTCCTCATCCTCCTCCTCCCTCCTCCTCTCTCCTCCTCCCTTCTCCTCCTCCGCATCCTCCCCCTCCTCCTCCTCCTCCTCCTCCTCCTCCTCCTCCTCCTCTCCTCCTCCTCCTCCTCCACATCCTCCTCCTCCTCATCATCATCCTCCTCCTCATCCTCCTCCTCCTCCTCCTCCCACTGTCCTTATCAATAACTGCTTCATCTCGTCCCTGGGACGGGGGCAGCTTAGAAAAGCTGCTCTCGCCTCAGCACTGCGCACATATGTTTGTGAAAACGTACAACAGTTTCAAGGATGGAGCACCAGTCGTTTTCACAATGTGGCTCTCGCCTGGGCGCCGCGCACATTCGTCTTCAAAGTTCGCAACAGGTTCAAGGATGGAGCACAGGTCGTGTTCAAAATGTGGCTATCGCATTGGCGACGCGCACATCCGTCTCAAAGGTTTGCACCAGTTTCACGGATGCAAGGCGGTGTTCCCCAAGATGATGCTCTCGTCGTAGCGCCGTGCACATTCATCTTAAAAGTCTGCAACAACGTCACAGAAGGAGGGGGTGCCAAAATCTAGCTCTCGCCCCAACAACGCGCACATTCTCCCAAAAAGTGCGCAGCTAATGAAACCCATGGAGCACTGGTCGCCGCGAGCACTGGTCGCCGCGAAAATAGGAAACCTTGTTTCAAACTGGAGTTCTCGCTCGAGACATGGCTAAGTTCAAAGACGCAGAACTTCAACGCACGTGTCGCTGCACGGGCGGCTTTCTTGTCAAAATGGAGCTGACACGTAAGGCGTAGTCGAAGTGTATGGCCACCAGCGCACGCTTGTGAAAAAGTTGCACTGATATAAGAAGGTCCGATTTCGAATGAGGGATGCCGTTTGAAACCTCCTTGAACTATGTGATCATTCTTGTTTCGCGTTCTGGACTGCGTGCCACTAAAAAGGAAGGAATTACTTTGTATAGCGAGGCCATCGACAAAACAGCAGGCCAAACTCTGATGGTCGTTAGGGGGCGGCGCTTCTTGTAGTGAACAAGAAGAGATCTAGGGGCGCATGAGGATGGGACTTCAGACAAGAGGGTGTAGCGCAGCATCTACTACTACTACCACCACCACCACCACCACCACCACCACCACCACCACCACCACTACACTACTACTACTACTACTACTACTACTACTACTACTACTACTACTACTACTACTACTACTACTACTACTACTACTACTACTACTACTACTACTACTACTACTACTACTACTACTACTACTACTACTACGACTACTACTACTACTACTACTAACTACTACTACTACTACTACTACTACTACTACTACTACTACTACTACTACTACTACTACTACTACTACTACTACTACTACTACTACTACTACTACTACTACTACTACTACTACTACTACTACTACTACACTACTACTACTACTACTACTACTA